GCTTTTCCAAACAACTGCTTAACTTCCCTGCTAATGTGTTACTACACTGTAGGAAGCAACTAAACTGGCAGTTTTAAGCTACATGGAAACAAAAATACAACTAATTTATTTTAATTTTCCTAACCTTTTTTCAGCTGTATGAAATCTCAGGTTCAGACTTATGACATATACAAATACTATAACAGCAAAATGGAAACAAGACCCAACATGCTAAGAAATATGGGAATTATATGCACTGTGCAAACTATCATCCAACATTGACAAGATTGCCCTTGCCGAGGGGATATATCTTTGCTTTATGTATTGCTCCAATGATCTATTGTCACATTGGTCCTTATTCTATAGTGAAATCTATCTTTGGTGTGATGACATGAGGTATAATACTTCATCAGAAGAGCAGCTCTTAGTATTCTACTGTGCATCATCCAAATGACAGTCTTCTGGTGGTCTGTAATATATAACCATCTAATTTCATTTTGGGCTTAAGTGCACACTGTTCACTGATATTAATAATAATGTAATGCTTCTTGGTTTAATATAGTGAAGTTAATATACTGAAGTTGGCAGAGAATCTGAAGTTCAGCCTGCAGCAGCCTGTTTGTGAATAATTTCTTAAGAATTTCTACTTTGCACTCCATGGTTCAAAGAAATAATTCACATGCCCTATCGCAAATATACATGTTATCATTATCTTTTCCAGTGTGGTTGACAGAAGTTAGGTGACAATAAAAAATCTTTAGGAAGGCCCTAAATCTCATCACTTCACATCTCATTTTTATGTATCCTAGTTATGAGAGCTTGAAACTTCTTCATGATCAAGGTAGCATACAATTTATAGCTGCCCAAAAGAATATTGCATGCCACTTTCCCTGCCATTAATTATAACTGTCACCATTTTTCTCTAGCATGCAATATCTTCTGCGAAGATGAAAAAAGGAGGAATCATTTATTTTAGCGTACCTCAAGCTGTCTATAATAGTATGATGACACCCCTGACTTCCTACCTTCTACCAAATAATCTGGGAAACTATGTAAAGCTCAATGTCATCTCCCAGAGTCACTCAAATGATTAATTCCTTCTTATGACTCTGGGAAGGAAAACATTTCAAAGTTAGGACTTTAATTTTAAGTGCAAAACTCTAAAATATCCCAGCAGGCTTGGAACACTTAGTTTCTAAATCTTGGCAGAAAAACAATGTGAGCAAGGCTTAAAATATTGTAATCAGAGGACAACAATCTAAGAAAACCAAGTGGTTTTAATAAATTCAATGTTATATTTGTTAATCTTATTTTGACAACTGATTGGTCATTGCATTTTGCATAAGATGCAACATCTTAAAGAACCATCCCACATGCAACATCATAATAGGAGTGTTCACAAGGGGGGGAAACAAAAGGCAAAAAAGTCAAGATGATGGTTACAACCATGTGATCAAAGTTTCACCCCTTTCTATGTGCATTAAAAGGAGGCAAGGCTTTGACTGCATGATTGTGACTATCATCTTGACTTTTTTGACTCCTCTGTGACAGATCTGCATCACACAGATTATTTAAAATCATTGTGGGCTGATAAGATGTAACATTTGTGGCATATTCACTTCAAACACTATATTTTTACTCCTTGAAGAAAGCATACTCAGATTAAACACATTTGATTACCTTATCCATATAGGGAATATTTATTGTTTAGAAGAGTTACATGGTTGTGATCCAATCTGGGGAAAAATAGACACTGCATGTTCATTGACTAAAAATGGAATTGTATACAATCCCATCATGAATAGAACATTTATTACTTATTCTAATCCTTATATGGGAATACGCCTTGTTGAATTCACAGTCTGGTTTTCTGTATAATTAGGCTGCATGTTTGAACATTTTCCCCACTGAAATAAATACACAATAAACCACCCATTTCATGCCCCAAACCTATAATTCTTTACAAGGTGTATAGAAAATATGATTGGATACAATGGGATTTATTTCAGCCTTTTGTTATATGGATCCCATCTCCCTCTGCAAAGGTTAAGTGTGACTTGGCACAGTCCCATTCACGATATACTCAAGTTTGATCTTGCCTTGTTATACTTTTAATTTGAATGGAGTAATGAAGAGAACTGTCCTATGGAAAGCCTGCAGGGCTGAGTGTCTTTTTTCCCTCCTGAAAATGTTTGCTTATCTCTGTAGTTTTATGAACATTAAGCAATGCCTTCTCTGAATGTCAATGCACCTTTATTTCTTGTGAGTGAACTTTATTATTACCTCAGGCTAAAACAGTTCCATATGCCCAGATGTGCATGTTTTACATGATTTGTTTGCTTGTTTGTTTGTTTTTGCTCTTCCTTCTTGCTACTCCACCTTGTTGAGAGAACAGGTTTCTTCTCCTTGTGAATCCATTACTCATTCATCAATAATGACATGAACTTGGCAAAGCTTTTGAAAAAGAGCCTTTTTATTATACTGTTCTAGCAACCGTTAATATCTCTAATACTCAGCAATTTTCTCATTTTCTTTTGTGAAAGGACAAGCTGTAACTACATGATAGAAGGCCATGAGGTCCAGAACAATTACCAGTTTCATTAATGTAGGTGAAATAGGAGGAAATGAACAATAGCTTTCATTTTTGCAGCATAGTAGAAGTGTCTGCTTTGTCCTATAATCTGTTATCAGCTTTCAGCTGAATTTATAAACACTAATTAAACCAGAAAACTAGTGATGACAGACCTATCATTTCTTCCCCTGAGTTCTGACAAAAGAAACAATAGAACCAAAATGGGAATTGTCCACTGTTAGACTCTGAATTTTGTCTGAGTTTATAAGGAGGCATCTATTCTCTTACTTACAGGTCAGAAATTGTATTCCCTGTGAGAATTTGCTCTTTCTCAACAATATGTTAAATGGGATTTGTATAAAAATATTAATATGGCATGTCTCTAGTGCTGCTGTATTTTTATTTGTTATTTTAACGGTGTTTTTCTATGTGAGTACTAAAAGTCATTTTAATTGTGGCAACATAGAAATAAGTGTAATTGGTTCTTATTAATTCTCACATTAGAGAGTGACTTGAAATACCTTTAAATAACATGTAAATATTAATATTTCAAATCAATATTTTAATAAACATCACTACATTTAAATAATTATATATTTATATAGTGTTTATCCATCTCCAGGGAGTGTATAATTTACAATATGTTTTATAAAATACTTTAATTAATGTAAACATAAATAAGGCATTCTATACACACTGTATGCCTGATTTTCCACATATATGAATCTCAAGAAGCCAGGAATAGCTTAACAACTCCAACATGAAGTGTAAAATGTCAAGGTGAATAAAAATATGTTTAGAATCTGGATTTCCTTTACTTGTATCATTGTGATTTCATTTTTCATAAACAGTTGAATGCTTGTATTTTGGATCTTTTTAGAGAAATCTATAATTTTATTTTGACAGAAAATAGAAATTGAACAAACATTAAGACCTTTATGTTACCATTGTATTGGGGGGCTTATAGGCCAATGTTATCATGGGCTGAAGAAGGATCAGCTTGTGATTGAAATTTGCTTTATGTGGAGCTTCCAATGAAGATCATTTGAAATTTTGAATTTGTCCAAAAGTACCTCTGCATTCCATTTGGTTTGTCCATCTAATATCCCTACTGTGGTTATCATCAGGCTGTTGGTTCTCATATTTATAGTAAATGGCTCATGTGGTATCTTTAAGATTGCCTTCTTTAATTAATATCTCCCTGCCTAGTAATCGCTGCTGTAGAGAGAGCTTCCTCCATTCTTAAAGAGTACTTCAGTCAGAATTAGTGTGGAAAGGTTTTGCTGTTATGCTCACCTTCTCTGGAACAGCGCTCCTCTAGAAGTTAGACTATCCCCAACTCTACTTAGTTTGGAAAAGACCTTGAAGACCTAGACTTCTCAAAGGATCTTGGGGTTTGACATGAGCATGTTAAATATATTATGCAAAATATGTCACTAGAAGAGATTAATGGGATGAAAATGCACATAGAGTCCAAACATATTTGTGGCTACTGACCCAGCAATCTGTGCAAACTTCAGAATAAACAATTTTGTGAGCCCATGTGATATCATACACAAGAGAGATCATTCAACTGAAATTAATTATACTTTATTTTAATTTTCAATTTATCTGAATTTGTTCTCTTGCTTCATACCATAGAAAGACATAAGCTTCTCTAATAAAACATACTCTGTATTTCTCTTACAGACTTCCTTGAATCCTTCCTCTGTGGATCACTTAAAAGATTTCTTTAATCTCATCCTATTTCATTCATTACAGAAATAAACTATGATAACACACAACAGCAGAAGTTGAACTATGTGCGATCAATAGAAAATATCTCCAAATCCATTAAGCCACTCTCTTTTGACACTTAGGGAATTAAATATTAAATTAACCCTATTTGTAGGGGTAACATCTGAGCTGAAACTGTTACTAAGGCTGAAATTCAAAACAATGGATTTCCTGGTTATGAATCCTCACTGTTCTGCTAAACTTGTAGTTGAGGCAGCATCTCAGAGTGCTGGCAAAGCCATCATTTCAGTAATAATCAAATGGCAGTATTCTTATGTCTCTGTTTTCTTCCTTTTTCACATTGTTACAAAAATAATGAGGATGTTGAATGCTTACTAAACAACAGGGATCTTCAAACTTGGCCCTTTTATGACTTGTGGACTTCAACTCCCAGAATTCCTCAGCCAGCATGCCTGCTAAACAACATAACACCTCTTCTGTTTCCTTCATTATTTTGGTAGAAGCTTTGTGATATACAAAAGGACAAAAACTAGCTGAAAGCAATCCAAATGACATATGCTGACACTGAGTCCACTCTTAGACAGTTAGACTGAAGAAGATGTCAGGGTTTTGGTATTTTTTTTTTTAAAAAATCAACAATTCTGTGTTTTGGTTTTGTATCACCATTCTGTATCAGCATTTCAATCAGAATTTTGTATCATCTTTCTTCCAGGAAACCTAAGGCAGCTTCTATGGCTCTGTTTCATCTTCATTGCAGGTGAGTTAAGATGAGAGATGGTAAGAGATGGTAAGTGTCTCAAGCTCACTCAATGAGCATCTTGTATTTTCCCATTCATCCTCTATCACTCCTAAACATTATACAATGTAAATATATATGTTGTCCTGATAATTATCCTTTCTCATTTCCAGTGGCAATGGATGATATTTGGGAGGGATGATGAATGTAAAGGTATTGTGAAAGACTGTGAGAAGGCTAGGAAAGTAATAGAAGGGAAAGCAGAGATTTTTTTAAAAAATAAAATATTAAAGAGATAGAAGATAAATCCTTTGGTAGTTAACTTACAAAGAGTAACTCAGCCTATGTGGCAAGAAACCTGCAAAGAAACCTTTCAAACTTTTCAAAGAGGTTCTTCCTTAATGAACTCGCTACAAATGAAGGTAGGAAATTCTTACAGTTTCCAAAATCCTGTATTTATTCCAAGACTAGCATTAAAGATACCTTACAGTAGTTCTTGCTTCCTTGATCTTGCCCAGCTGTGTGGCACTTGACAGAAATCATGTTGCCATCTCTTTTATTACATTTAATAAGGAAGGTGGTGATCTTACTTCCAAGAAATTTCTAAGAGCTATGACTCATTATTAAATATAGATAAAAAATAGGGAACTCTACTGAATGGCATCTAACTAATTGAAGGATTTATTGCAAGTTCTCCCTTTTCAGTTTTAGTAATTCAGTGTAGTGACAGATCCCTCTGTCTCTCATTTAAAAATAATAGATAAACCCCCAGTATCTAGCTAATATGTATAGTCACACACTTATTCTGATGAATCTGATCATGGATGAGAACTATATATTTCTGAATAGAATATTACATAATGAGTGAATAATTAAAACTTGTTCTTATCTGTCATCCTGCTCGTGAAGTAATGTCTCATTCAGATCCATCAGAAAGATAAAATATAAATCTCCTTCATGTCAGGACCACAGACACAGACATCAAGTTGTTGCTTTTTTTAAGGTATGGATCTAGTTTACTATTGTTGCCTTCTGGGATATTCTGGATTTTTTTTTAATTTACCACTTCACTGGTCATCTCTCATTTAAAATACACATTATTTTGCTTTTTAAGCTCAATCAAGTCTATGATAATACCATCCCAATTGGTACCAAAAAAAGTATAAGAATGAGTTCCTTAATATTTCTTATCCCAAAGATGCTTTTCCACAAGGCAACTGGACTTTCTTGTTTTTCTTTGAAAACATTTCGCTTCTCATCCAAGAAGCTTCTTCAGCTCTGACTGGATGGTGGGGAATGGAAAGATTTATACTCCTGCAGACAGCTGTTCATTTGCATTCTTAGCATTAATTTTGGACAGAAAGGACGCTGGTTTGAAAGAGGGGTCAAAGAGGCCATCTATGTCAAAATTGAGCAACCCTCTCTCAACAGAGGGGGAGGAATATTACATCATCTATCTCCAGTCTACAACACAATCCTTTCAACAATTCCAAGAAGGCTCCACACCCATTTGCACTACTCAGGTGACCCTGAAGACACAGATAAGTCTCCAGGTAGCTTTAACAACTTGCTGAAAGAATGCAAATGAACAGCTATCTGCAGGAATATAAATCTTTCCATTCCCCACCATCCAGTTAGAGCTGAAGAAGCTTCTTGGATGAGAAGCAAAATGTCTTCAAAGAAAAACAAGAAAGTCCAGTTGCCTCATGGAAAAGCATCTTTGGGATAATTAAGACCTGGATGACTGAGAATCTCCATAAACACTTAATATTTCTTCTTGCTGAATTTTCTGATAAGAGGGCATAAAATTTATTGCATTTGATTAAAAATATTTTTTCTATTTTGCTGTGACAAAAAAAAACACCTTTTCCAAATGGCCAGATTGGGTAGTTCTTGCATGGGAAACATTGAAATCGTTTCTTCCTGGGTCAGCATAAATATGTTCATAAACACAAATTGATATCAATGGTAGAGATACCATTATGCTTGTTTGGGTCGCTACCTTCCCTCAATTTATCATGAGATGTGACAGTGAAAGGGGGTGTCTTAACTTTCTGGGCATCCAAGACTTTTCTTGTGAATTCCCTTTGATACTCCTTTTAATTGTTGGTAAATTTTTGGGTTAATTAATTAACCAGAGTAAGGCTGATACATTTCCTTTGACTCAGCTATGGAAATTTGTAAAAGTCAAACTTCTGTTATTTCAATTCCTCTAAATGACTGGATCCAATTATTTCAGGAAAAAGGTATTGTAAATATTTCAAGCTAGTTATCTCAGGCTAATGTGCTAAATTTTAAAATCTCAATGAGCTTCTGGGAAAGTTAAAAATGAATATTCAAGATTTAGTTTCCAAGTTATTAAAAAGGTTTTTATGGGGAGGACAAACCAGAGATTTTCTTTATTTAGCCTGATTATAATGTTTTTAATTTAACCTTCCTTCCTTCCTTCCTTCCTTCCTTCCTTCCTTCCTTCCTTCCTTCCTTCCTTCCTTCCTTCCTTCCTTCCACAGAGATTCTACTTGATCTCTGTCAGGACATTTTCAGCTATTTTATTAAGGATTTTCAGGGGCTTCCTTAGATAAAATTCTGTTTCACCAGTACCTATTATTTTATAGTTATATAGTTAGATAATTAGAGAAAGTTGCCATGTATAACCCCTTGAATGTCTTAATAAAAGAAAGAATGTAAATTTAACAAGCAAAGAAATAAATATAACTGTATCTGATACAAACCTGAAAAAGAAGCCCATTTAAATTGTACATATACCAGTTAAGGTTTCTGTTGAAGGTACAGAAATGTGACAGCATATATAATGTATATAGTTTGACTTTGTCCAGAAATTATGTGAGGATAGGCTGAGAATGTTTACTCTATGTGACTTATAATTTATATATTTATAAATTCTTTAGTACTGTTGGTGGATATGTAAAATACGATATTTTCCAAGAAAACATAAAAATGATTATTTATTCACCAAAAGCTGATGAAATAACAGCCTGTTATAAAGAAAAGTAAAACAAATTCTCATCTGTAAAAGAATGGATGGTAAAGGTTTGGGAATTAGTTGTAAGCTTGACATGAAAAAAATGTTCTCAGAATTAGAAAGAGCAAAGAGAAATAAAATGAACATAGGTATACTTTGATCTGTAGGAAAAAATGCAAAGATATTGGGAATTTTCCAAAAAAATATTCAATAATATTGTATTCTAATGTAAACGAGCAAAAATGGCAGGATAGTACATATTGAACTATTTTTGTAGATGTACAAGAAAATTGCTCTGAATAGATACTATTAATAAATAACATGACAGTCATTATGACTTATTGTGTGATATATTATTTTGACCATTCTTTTAATGGTAATTTATTAATTTATTGCTTTTTATTATTTTATATATATATATATATATATATATATATATATATATATATATATATATATATATATGTGTGTGTGTGTGTGTGTGTGTGTGTGTGTGTGTGTGTGTTTTCTGAGGTTTTCGCGGGTATTTGTATGTAGATTTTTGGTTGTTCGGGTTTTCTCCCGCGTAAAAATTGGAAGTATCTTGGCGATGTTTCAACGAAGTCCCATTCGTCATCTTCAGGCTGGTGTTTTCAGCTTCGTGCTTTGAGCAGCAATGTGTGGTCTTAGCTGTTTCTTCCTTTCCAACATCAAAACAGCATTCTGCACAAACAGAAAAATATCCACCATCCTTAGAAACCCCAAAGATAAAATTGAATTAGAAAATCAAGGAGTATACGAAATCCCATGCACCACTTGTCCCACCACATACATCGGACAAACCAACAGAAGAATAAGTGCATGCATTGAAGAACATAAGAACTCAGTCAAAAAAGAGGAACCAACATCTTCCCTGGTCCAACACCTTAAAGCCACAGGACATGAAATTGACTTTAAAAATACCAGAACCATTGCCAAAAGTGAACATTTTAATAACAGAATAATCAGAGAAGCCATCGAGATAGAAAAACGCCCACACAGCATGAACAAGCGAGATGATACCTCCCGCCTACCAGCCATTTGGAAACCCGCCCTTATTGACAAACGACTCCCTAACACAAAAAATGATACCAGACCCACACTCACAAAAACCACACAGGATGTCACCACTACACATCCACGCAAAAAACAAACCCAAAGCCACACCGATGACGAGGCATGACCACAAACCAGAAGCCAGACCACAGCTGCATCATTAGCCACTTTAAACCCCTCCAATCCATACATGAAGCAAACTGACACCCTCCATGGAGAGGAGGCACGACGACGAACGCGAAGCCAAAAAAAAAAAAAATAGCAGCCCAAAATCTTAAACCCCTCTGCAACTCAGACTAACCTGAGCACAACCAAACAGAATACTCCCCTAGCCAATCAGAGCACAGCCAAGCCCCTAACCATTCAGAACACACCTCCACCCAATCAGAACACAGCCAAGCTCCCACCCAATCAGTTCATACCCCCACTGGCAGTTAAAAGGAAGAAACAGCTAACACCACACATTGCTGCTCAAAGCACGAAGCTGAAAACACCAGCCTGAAGATGACGAAACGTCGCCAAGATACTTCCAATTTTATGCGGGGACCTCTATATATATATATATATATATATATATATATATATATATATATATATATTTCTAAAATTTGGATTGCTAGCAAAGAATTAAGGGAGAACTGGAATAGCTATTTCGAACTCTTTAGCTCTATTTGGGCAACAGGGTGTAACATACAGCATTATACATATATATATATATGTTTTCTGAGGTTTTTGCGGGTGTTTGTATGTAGGTCTTTGGTTGTTCGGGGTTTCTCCTGCGTAAAATTGGAAGTGTCTTGGCGACGTTTCGACGAAGTCCCATTCGTCATCTTCAGGCTGGTGTTTTCAGCTTCGTGCTTCGAGCAGCAATGTGTGGTCTTAGCTGTTTCTTCTTTTTAACTGCCAGTGGGGGTATGAACTGATTGGGTGGGAGCTTGGCTGTGTTCTGATTGGGTGGAGGTGT